AATGCTCTATAATGTCGCATTTAGGGGCCGGGATGTTGCGGACAATGCAGTTCTATAAGGCAGATATTTGAGGCCTGATATATTTCCCTTGCATTGCGGTAACATTGGAGCATTGTGCGCGCTAGCTGTGCGCCCTTGACGAGAGAGGGCGCTGGGTGGAGAGAGATTATGGGATGTTTCCTGGAATCGCGAGGCGACAGTTTTGGAATTAGAAGAAAGGAGATAGGCCTACGGGCAGATGGGTGAAGAAGGTTTGCGTGTATAAGTTGCCAATTTGTTTGTACCTGAGATTGCCGGATACATTTGAGATACTGAGACTAAGTGAGCTAAAGGGCTAGTATGTTCTGAAGGCAAGCGAACTGATATGTATTGAGTTTGAACTGATACGTATTGAGTTTTGAACTGAACTGTTACGCACTGTATCGAAGCTGATCTGTAGCCGAGACACTGACTTGCATCGTTGTGAAATCGTGCGCCTAACGGGCGGTTGAAGTGAAGTGCAGAGGTGGTCGATGCATTATGTGAGGTGACTGTGAAGCTAATGTACGTGAATTTGTAGACGGGTGTGTTGCTGCGCAGAACTTTAGACTGGAAAATAAATGATTGAAACTGTATTCGGTGTTATCAGCGTGACTGCAATTGGAACGAGTGAATCACCCACAACATTGTACAAACAAAGGTATATGAATATAGCGAGCTCTGAACTGCGTACATATATATATATGTGCACGTCAAGGAGAGGCTCTACAGTGCGTGTGCACCGTGGTGCTAATAGTAATAGACTGTATTATGACTGTTGCTGTGTTGTCGTATATTACTTACTGGTGTGACTAAAACCCGAGACAAGCATGAACGGCACAGGGGACGAAAGGGTCCCACCAGGAGATGCCCAAATTGTGACTGAACGCACGGATACCATTCCCGATACCTCTCGTGTCGATGATAATGCATGGGAGAGACGTTCAAGTCAGTTGGTTACCGATAATGACGCTGCAAATGAGCAGTTACAGACGATGTACCGATCGCGAGCAGGTCACGCATCTGATGTATCTAGAAAGTTGAGAGAGTATATTACGTGGGCTACTATCGAAGAAACCAGTAACAAGTTGGACCGTTTGAGTATTGCCTTTCATAAGTTTGAGCAGTCTCACCTGCAGTATGTAAACCTAGCTGCCGGTAGAGAACCCGATAGGGTGACATATTTTGAAATGCACTTTATAGACGTGTCATTGGAGATAAGTGTTGCCAGGGAAAGTGAGGCAAAGCGACGCGAACAGGAAATGCTTACTTGCACTGATGACGTGTTGCCCCGTGATAGTGCTTCGCAGCAAGGGTCTACGCGATCGTCGAGTACGTCAAGCGCCCGAGCGAAAGCCACGGCTAAGCGTGCAGCTTTAGAGGTCAAATCCCGGTATTTGAAACAGCAGTTGGACATCGAATATCAGCAGCTTCACTTGAGAATGAAACAAAGCAAGGCTGAATTGAAGCTAAGAGATCTTGAAATGGAAGGTGAGCTCAAGGCTGCAGCCGTCGAGGAGAAAACATTAGCGAGATATGTGAGTGAGGGCATGGGAGATGATGTGCGTGACATAAGTGTACGTAAATCCGTGCCGCATTTTATTGTGGAGAACGTGCAACCAGTTGTTCCCACCGACATTCCACATGTTTCGTCGTGTGACGCGAACGGTGTATTGCACACGAGTCAGTTGCCGGCTAAAGCGGATGCGAGTGCACATGTACTTAATCCATCGGCTTCGGAGTGGACAAGTACTGCCGCCCCCGCACATGTGCACTCAAGCCTTGATAGTGTGACCATGCCTACCCCGGAGGTGAATTTTATGATACACCGTCAACTATTGGACGTGGTTAGTCTCCCCAAGACTAGTCTCATGGCATTTGATGGTAATCCTATGGACTACTGGGTTTTCATGAATTCATTCAATAGCTGGGTTGGGCAGGCCACTGTAGGTGACGGAGTCAAGCTAAACAGATTATTAGAATACTGTACAGGCAAAGCTGCCAACGCCATCAAACCATGTGCTATGATGAGCCCCGTAGAAGGCTTATGCTAAAGCCAGACAGCTGGTAAAACAACGTTTTGGAGACGATTACATGATATCCGAGGCATGGGTACGCAAGATGACTGAAGGTCCTCCTATTCGAACCAACAGCGGGGAAGCTATACGCGATCTCACTGATGACATAAGAGGGTGCATGGAGGCGTTACGAGGATCGATTCTAGGTGTCGTATGGTCAAGATAGTACACAGGCTACCTCAGTACATCCAAAATAGGTGGCGCACGGAGGCAGTCCGTAACGTCGAGAAAACGCACACGTATCCAGACATAATGCGTCTGGTAACATTTCTTAAGACCGTCGCGCGAGAAATGCTTGATCTTGAGTATGGGTCCGTCGACGACAAGCCGAGAGAGTACATGAAAGTACAGTCAGGCACACAGCGAAAGAGCGGCTCGTGCTACAATGTCCAAGCATCGCAGAACTCCACTATAGGTAATTCAAGTGATCCGAAACGCCAAGCACAAGCTAGAAGGTGTTTTCTGTGCAACAATGATCATCTCATGACCACCTGTAAAGTGTTTCTGGAGATGTCGCCACAAAAGAGGCTCGACGCTGTCCGTGAGAAGCGATTGTGCTTTAACTGTCTGCAGTTCAGAAACCACACAGCAAAAATGTGCAAGTTCGCAGCTAGGTATGGTGCCAACAACTGCACTTGTAAACATTCTAAGTTGCTGCACGCAGCATTGTCAGCAGCTAGAGACAAGGTATCATATTCGCAGAGCTCTGATACCGTAGAACGTAGACAAGATCGTGAAGAGGCTCAGGTGAAACAGGTGAAAGGTGACAGTTTTGCATGTGGTGGTAGTGCCGTAAAGATGGTTTCCCTTCCGATTGTGACTATTTATGTGAAAGGGATAGGACAGGATGAGTATATCCAGACTAATGCATTACTTGACTCTGGAAGCAACAGAACGTTTTGTTCTAAGGAGCTGATTGAGCAGTTGGGAGTCAAGGGGAAGCAGACTACTCTTTCGCTGCAGACGCTGAACGAAGGAAAGGATACAGCTGCGAATGAAGTGAGTCTTGAAGCAATCGGCACCATCGGCAAGAGAAGGAAACGACAGGTCATTCAGCTGCCTAAGGTGTACGCTCTTAGCGACTTTCCCGCATTGAAGGGAAGCGTTGCTCTGTCGACAGATGTACGTACATTTAGTCATTTGAATGACATTTGCATATCCAATAGTGCAGAGTTGGACGTTGCCATCATCATTGGTCAGGATGTGCCACAGGCTCTTGTGCCGCTGGAAGTCCGTCGAGGCAAAGAGGGAGAACCGTATGCAGTCAGAACTGCTCTCGGATGGACAGTGAATGGCCCTCTAGACACCGTTGCCACATACACTGATGCGAGGTGTAATTACGTTCATGTTGAGGCAGGTTCCGACCTTGGACTTGAAGCTCAGGTCGAGAGATTTTGGAACATAGATACTGGCCATGTGCTCGCGGGTAGTAGGCCGCAGATGTCCGTTGATGATAAGAAGGTCATCAAAGTGTGGGAAAGCTCTCTGAAGCATAGCGATGGTCACTACGAGCTAGACATTCCGTTTAAGTCGGAACCGACTCAACTACCTGACAACAAGCCCCTGGCTCTTAAGAGGTTGCAATACCTAAGTAGACGCTTCGGGAAGGACCCAGAGTTGCATCGAAGATATCAGTCGGAGATCCAAACCCTTCTGGATAAAGGGTATGCTGAAGTTGTGCCTGAACGAGAGGTTGACGGTGTGCCAGGAAGGACCTGGTATCTACCTCATCACGCAGTCACGAACCCCAACAAGCCCGACAAACTGCGAGTCGTGTTTGACTGTGCTGCAGAATATCTAGGCAATTCGCTGAACAAGTGCGTTCTGCAGGGACCCGATCTATCGAACAATCTACTCGGCGTGCTGCTGAGATTTAGAGAAGGACGTATAGCAATTATGTCGGACATAGAAGCGATGTTCTATCAGGTGAACGTTTCCCCCTCACATAGGGATGCCCTGAGATTCTTATGGTGGAAGGATGGGGACGTCTCACGTGACCCAGGCATTTATCGTATGAAGGTTCACCCCTTTGGTGGGGTTTGGAGTCCTAGCTGTACAAGCTTTGCGCTTCGTCAGACGGCTGAGCAGAACTCTGATATGTTTGATCCCGAAACCGTGCAGACTGTGTTGAGAGACTTTTACGTGGACGACTGTCTCAAGTCTGTTGACAGTGAAAGCAAGGCAGTGAAACTGGTTGGAGAACTTAGTCAGCTGACTTCCCTGGGAGGTTTTCACCTTACCAAATGGATATCAAACAACAGAAAGGTGCTACAAAGCGTTCCAGTGAACGACAGAGCTAAGGAAATCAAGACACTTGACCTAGACCGTGGAACCTTGCCCATTGAGAGGGCTCTTGGACTGAGTTGGGACACAAACAATGACTCTGTCGGAATTAAAACTAATCCGAAGAATGTGGCTCACACTAAGAGGGGACTCCTGAGTGTTACGAGCTCCATATACGACCCGTTAGGGCTTGTGTGTCCTTTCGTGCTCCAGGCGAAGAAGTTGTTCCAGTCCGAGTGCAAGTTGATCAAAGGTTGGGATGAAGAGTTACACGTTGACAACAAGAATAGGTGGCTGAGATGGCTACGTGAGCTTCCAGAGCTTGAGAAGGTGACAGTGGATCGTTGTGTGCTGCCAGAAAGCTTTGGGGCATGCACGACAATGGAGATTCACCACTTCTGCGATGCTTCACAGGAAGCATATGGTGTGGTGTCGTACCTCAGGGCGGTAAACGACAGAGGAAGAGTTCACTGCTCCTTTCTCTTAGGAAAGTCACGCCTTGCCCCTATAAAACAAATGACAATACCTAGATTGGAACTCATGGCAGCTGTGATGGCAGTTCGTGTCAGCAGCACCCTAGAGCAGGAGCTGCAGTTAAAGATTGACAGGAACGTTTTCTGGTCGGACAGTATGATAGTCTTGCAGTACGTAAAGAGCAAGACTAGACGGTTTCACACGTTTGTGGCCAATCGTGTAGCGATCATACATGATGGTTCCTACCCAGAGCAGTGGAGGTACGTAGATACGAAGTCGAACCCCGCAGACGATGCTTCCAGGGGTCTATCCGCTCCCGAGCTTGTTCAGAAGGGAAGGTGGCTACAGGGGCCGGAATTCCTGTGGGGAGATGAGTTGGAATGGCCAAAACCTCCAGACGACTTGCCCGATATTCAAGACGATGACAGGGAGGTCAAACAGAGCATTCAGTCATGCGTGGCTGTAACCGAGCACTCAGAAAATCCTGTAGATCGACTGCTGTCGTATCACTCCACGTGGCATCGGCTGCGTAAGGCCGTGGCTTGGCTACTGAAGTTCAAGAAGTGGTTGCGAGACCGTGCGATGACAAAGATGAGTTTGGATGCTGCTGATACTATGGAAGCCGAACGGGCTATTGTGCAGTACCTCCAAGGCAAATGCTACGGTCACGAACTGTCGGATTTGAGGTCCCAACGCGTCGTCAGTAGGAAAAGTCACATCCATGACTTGGAACCTTGCTTGCTGGACGACGGGATTATTAGAGTTGGCGGTAGACTGCAGGAAGCCCCTATTCAGGATTCAGCTAAGCACCCGACAATATTGCCCAGAGATCACCACGTGACTGAGCTTATCGTACGTCACACTCACGAGTGGCAGCATAAAACCTAGTTTTAGACCTTTAAGGTCTTAAAACCGGGTTTTAAGGTCTAAAACGAGGTGTTAAGGTTTAAAACCCAGATTCAAGCTCCTAATACCTAGTTTTAAGGCATAAAACTTGGGTTTAGACCTTAAAACCAGGTTTTAAGATCTTAAAACTGGGTTTTAAGGTCTACAACTAGGAATTACGTCCTAAAACTAGGTATTAAGAGCTTAAATCCGGGTTTTAGACCTTAAAACCTGGTTTGAGACCTGGGAAAGCGTAAAACCTAGTTTTAAGCTATTAAAATCCGGTTTTAAGCTCTTAAACCCCAGGTTTAAGCTCCTAAACCCGGGTTTTAAGGTCTAAACTTGGAATTAAGCTCTTAAACCTAGTTTTACGGCGTAAAACGTGTTTTTTTACCTTAAACCCCGGTTTTAAGGTCTAAAACTAGGTTTTATGCTTTTTGGTACAAAATGCTTTCCATAAGCGTACATACGTACAGAGGATAACTAGTAACGTTTTCTTCTGTGCTTCCTTGGAGGACTGTGGAGCGGTGATACCGTTGCAACCGGTATAAACCCCAGTACAATGCACCGAGCGCATGACCAAGCTCGCCGTCACGTGGTAACAGCGAGCAAGGCGAAGATGACCATATAAAGTAATGTCATCACGTTACCCTGCGCAGCAGCGCCGCGGCGCTCTACGTTATAAGGTATAGGCAGACGAGTGAGTGCACGAGTGGGCGAGTGAGTGTGCACTTTAGACGTTCGTGAACTGTGCACGCGTTTAATCAATTTGTTTTTTTTCCTTTTTAATATCTTGATAATAAGAATCGTATGTACACTTGCGTAATTAGTAATCGTGATTATTTTTTTGCAGGTTTTTTTCCCGAAAATCGTTTCATGACTTTTAACACGTCAAACGTTTAGTATAGTACCGCACCAGCCTATAGTAGTATAGTTATATTTACTAATTATATAGTTATACAACGAAAGCTTGTCCTATGCGTGCTAGTATAGATTCCGTCCACAACGTTTCCTTGATCTCTTAACCCCGTCTGCACGTATTATTTTCACGTGCTGCTTTATATTTATGAATGCATGCCAGCGCATGCGCACTTAGTTGTCATTCAAAATTTCCACCGCTGAACATTTTTGGCGGTTGTCATCTAGTCAGCGCTATATTAGAGGCTTAGTCATCCACGACCACCCGGATGCCTCCTTATATAGTTAATTACTACTACACATGACACGTGTTAATAGTATATCACGCTCAAGCACCATAAACGTTATACACACTGTCATTATATCACACACATTGTTCACGTAACCAGAGTCTATTATCTTAGCAGTGAGCGTGTCGCGACGCATTTTTTGTATCTAGCAGTTTGACACATGAGTGTGAATGTGTTGTACCAGAATGCAGGGTTATGGCTAAAATGTGCGGGAGTCTGTTGGTGGTCTCGGGAGGACGCGGACGCGCGGGTCTTTGTCTCTGTGTAAGATGTGGCTTCACTGTGTGCAGATTAAAGTTATTAAACATGCAAGATATTAAAGTTTATTTCGGTTACCACACAAGTTTGGATTCTCCTTCTACTATATCATCTTTTATACACACAACTTTCATTTCAACGTTACAAGGTCATCGATCGATGTGCCAATACATTACGTATATATATATATATATATATATATATATATATACTAGAGAATAATAATACTAATAGTACGTGTCGTACGTACCGTACGTACGTTACGTAGTCGTAGT